TCACGCCCAGCACGAGCTCCCTGTTCAGCCAGGCCGGTTGTCTTGCAGTACATGGGGACAGGCTGCTCCTGTGCCTTTAAGACTTCCTCCCTGGAGAAGAGCCAGCCTTCCTGGACCCCTTTGCCCTTCAGGACTCTCTCCCAGGGGACTCTCTCAACCAGCGTCCTCAACAGGCCAAAGTCCGCCCTCTGAAAGCCCGGGGCAGTGGTTTTGCTGGCCCCCCTCTTAACTTCACCACGAACTGAGAACTCCATCATTTCATGGTTGCTAAGCCCCAGACGGCCTCCAACCACCACATCTCCCACCAGTCCTTCTCTGTCCGTAAACAGCAGGTCAAGCGAGGCACCTCCCCTGGTAGGCTCACTATCCAGCTGATCTTCCACACACTCCAGGAACCTCCTAGACTGTTTCCTCTCTGCTGTGTTGTATTTCCAGCAGATGTCTGATAAGTCAAAGTCCCCACAAGAGCAAGGGCTAGCGACTGAGAGACTTCTGCCAGCCGCCTGTAGAAAACTTCATCTACCTCATCATCCTGGTTGGGTGATCTGTAACAGACTCCCAACGGGATGTCTGCTTTGTCGGCTTTCTCCCTTATCTTTACCCATAAGCACTCGACCTTGTCACCACAATCGCTGAGCTCTGTACATCTGAAGCCGTCCCTAACAAAGTCAGGACAGGAAGTTCTGTACAAAGTGCTAAGGAAGAGAGAACTGCCAAGCCCCAAGTTCTTCCAGTGTTTAATAATGCTGCTTTCTCAGTCCATGGCAAGAGTGTGTGTGCAAGGTGCAAGCGTGCTCTCTCAGCAGCGCCACTTGAGAGAATATGTCCTAAACAGACTGCTAACAGAAAAGATTTTATAACTTTCCCTTATTTTTAACAAGTTTGAGTTTCCCCCATCATTCCCAGTTTTGTAAGCAGTTGACTTCAAGTCACATCAGTTTACGAATACTACTCCTTCTGGGAACATGGTAGGTGAAAAGATTATGGCAGATTATAATTTTTAATGTCTTTTAACTAAAATGCGTATTTTTATAGATATTTAAATATATACACAGACCATAACATATTTAATCAGTATGACAAATATATCTCTATTTCTCCACACACACACATAGATCTGTTGTTTTTCTCTTGCCATCGGTATGGGTCATCCGCTGGCTCTGCTTATGGAACCACTCCAAATTGGATTCTATAGAAAAGAAATTCTCACCATCCTCCTGGTAATGTAAGAGGCTAACATATTCTTCCCATCTCCTGCCTTTAGATATCCCAAAGGATCTCTGTGCAAAAGCATAGGATAAAATGGAAAACAGATCCTCACCTCAAAGTCACACTCTTCTCCCACTGCAAATTTGGTCATGATCTCCAGCCAAGCTGCATCCACCAACTTTTCCAAAGACACAGTGTTGTGGTGGACTATTTCCAGTACCAGTTTCTCATACCAGATGGGGAACTCCTCCTTCAAGCTGAGCAAGCAAATAAGAAGTTTGCATTATTTAGGGAATAAAAGCCAAAACGCACAGTAGCCCTCTATTTCGCAATTCTGGGAACATTAATAGCCAGGACCACGTTGGAGGCAGATGCCACATTTGCATGCAAACATCCATGGGCTTTTTGCTGCCCTCCCCCCAGCACCCCCCAAAGCGTTAAGTGGCATGACAACACAAATCATACTTGTCCCTCCCAGAAGCAGCACCATAAGGCATTCTGGAAGAGCAGCACTGATGGGGAGCCCTTTCTTGCTGCTTATTATTGCCTCTCCGTTAGTTGTTCAGTATATACCAAGGCCATGTCGTTATTCTGAGACTTGTTATTTTACAATTTTTGCTTCCAACAATAACATGATGCTGAGGAACATTTAGCATTTCTTTCTTCCCAAACAGACAGTGAAGAACATAGAGGCAGGCTTGCACAATCCAGTTATCATTCCAGAGAAAAAGATTTTGTGTGTTTCACCATGTCATGATCTCCAAACTTTTCCATTCACAGAAGAGAAAGGACTGTTACAAATTTACTCGACTGATATCCTTTCTAAAAGATCAGGTCAGTTAGCTGACAGGAGTACTGAGAAATACATTGCATAAAGCTTTCTGGCTAAAAAGTAAAGTCCGTTTCAAGTTACCGTGCGGAGGAGCAAAACACTCCATTTTTCCGAAACCCTTTTGGCTTCCCAGACTCTGGGATCCACTGCTGACAATCCTCAGCTGTATTTGCTGTTCTACAATGGCCATGAACAAATCCACCCCTTTAGCAAACTGCCCAAATTAACTTTTTTTATTCAGACTAGTGTCAGGTATTAAAGCAGCCAGTAAACTGCCTGGGAAGCTTTTAATCCCGTTTCAAAGAGACAAGACCAAAATCTTCTTTGACAGAGTCTTTTTTCCCCCCACATTTAGAGAGACTGTAGCTAAATTTGTTACTGAGAAATCTTCCATTTCTATTTCGTGTACATTTCTTACGGTTTTCAGAAGGGGCCAGCCAATCCAACGCTGTTCACCAAACGTAAGTGACACTAGACCAGGGGGTTTTGACTCAGGACTATAAGCTCAGGGAGCTGGCTCTGCACCCTCCTCTCAAACAAGAATGCTAGGGAGGAAAGACTGAAGACTGCAGTACTTCAGCCCTCCTAGAAATCAGGACTGCCAGCAAACAGGATTGTTACTTGTTGCCTTTAAGGATGTGATTAACCTCAAATGATGGGGAACTTCTCCCTAGGCTAAGGCTATTCGCTCTTTTGTGGATTCTTCATGAAAGAGAGGCAGCAGAAAATGTCACCTCCTAGGTAGCACTGCTGACACCCCCCCCACGGTAAATCCAAGAAGAAGCCACAGAACTCCAAGTCACCAGCTCACAGAATGCAGAAACAACGCCATTCGTTTGGCACAATTCCCAAAAACTTGGCAACCACGAAGTGACGCACATTGGCCGAGCCAAGGGCTTGCGCCTTTACAGAAGATTCACTTCCACGGCAAGGGTCACGCTGGCTCTCGACCACGGATGTGGGGCCTGTGCGGTGCTAGACTGGGGGCTCAGGGTGCTCTGAACAGAGTAATGACTCTTTCTGGTTTCCCCTTGTTCTTTATTGTGTCAAGCAGAGCAGATCCCCAAAATCTCACTCCAAAATATTTTTTTTTTATTTAGTACAACTGATTCCAATGCAGATCTTGAAAAAATAATTACAGCTGTGGACCTGGCTGATGTGAAACACTTCAACGGCTTCTTTTTACTGTATTTTTACTTTTGCTCCTTCAAGATTCATTTTCTTCCCCCTCTGAAAAATTCCCATTACTCAAGGGGCTTCGAAATCTGCCATGTACCATGCACCGAGCTATTTCGGTTCAAGTAATACCAAGACACAGCACTAAATAAGTACATTACTCAACTGCATTAGTGACAGCACCAAATTTGGACTTAATTTGCTTTCAACTCCAGAATCCCCAAGGCTGTTTACAGCCAGCAAGAAGCTACTAACCTCACCTCAGACTCGCAACCAGGTATCCTTCCCAAGCCCGCTCTCCTGCCCCAGTGCCTACAGATAGGCAGACACCAGTTTCTTCCCTGGTACTTACAGCTCAGCAACTTCCTGCTCCTCCTCCCAAGCCTCCTTGTGCGTCAGCTGGCTGCTTCCCGTGCTCTTGCACGTCCATATCCGCTCGCTGTACCGCTCCAGACGCGCTTCATACTCTCTGTAGAAGCGGCAGCTCAGGAAAACAGGATTTATGCAGTTGAGAGCATCATCACAATAGCACAAGACAATCGAATTCAATTAAACCCTTGCTAATGGCACGCACAACGGCTGAGGATCGCTGCAGCACAGTCCGGCCCCGAGCCTGCCCCAGAGACGCCGCGTTAAGTGTCCCCCGGGCTTTCAGACCAGGACGCGCTGGAGCTTTCTGCATCTGAAATGCCCGTCCTGTTCGGTACCGGCGTACAGAAGGGGCCACGCCACCGCCAGTTCAGCTGAACTGCACAAGGGGAATGCACACGGCTGTGTTTCGTGGCATCGCTATGTTACTCCTCAGCTTTTCCAGTCCAATTCATTGGAAAACAGCACAAGCAATATCACAGGCACCTGCAGGAGACGTGGCACGGACGGCCGCTAAACGCCCAGCAACAACTGTTGGGGAACCAGGAACTACTGCTGCTACTGCCTCAGGGTGGTGTTAAACCTCTAGATGCAAATTATCAGCCTACCCAGTACCCCCAGAAAAGCCCAAAAGCTTTGAAACTGAAATCACTAGAAAGGCCACCTTCCCTTCGGTTTCCAGCCAGAGCAGCCTCCCGCAGCAGCACACCGTGCAGACCCTTCTCACCACGCGCATCACCCGCTCGGGGCTCCCGACCAGGCTCCCGGCGCAGGCCCGGGTGCGCAGGCAAGGCCCCGCGTCGCAGCCAGCGTTACGAACCACTGCATCAGCCACCCGGCTGCAAGCACCCGCGGCGATGCCCGACCCACTCCACCTAAGCGGTAATTAACTGTCGGTGTAAACAGGTATTAGCTACTTCATACTTTCTATGGGTAGAACACGTAGAGGCACAATTATCAGAAAAGCTAGCACAGTGTAAATCCACACCAATTTACCCCGTGCCAGCCTGCTTAAGTTGCCATATGCTTACCGATGGTAATTTAAGTGGAGAAATTACGAGAGGCGAGAAAAGCGTCTTTCCCTTCTCCTTCAGCATCCTCTCCAGCAGGAAAGGAAGCACAGAGCACAAAGCATACTTGTAACAACTACCGGGGCTCAGCCCGCTGCAGCTCAAGTACTAATTACGAGAGTCTCTGCGGGAACAAGCAGACTGCTCCACGCTCCCGCCACGGCAGAGCCACCAGCCACAGCAAATCACTCATCATATCCTGCATACGCTTTGTCTTTCACGAAAATTTTAGTGCAACTAACCTTTTTTTTCTTCTTCCTCAAGATTCCTATCAGGAAGCCCAATCACAACTCCAGCAAAGCACGTTTTCTCAGACACTTCTTCCCAGCCCCAAGGTAAAGCACAACAGAGCCCAGAGGCGGCACTGAGGACGCTGAGATGCGGGCATCTCGCAGCCACACCAACCCGCGCTGCACGCCAGGAACAGAGCCAAGGCGGCTGCCGCTGCCGACACGATCCCCTGGGCAGGTCTTAAACCTGAGGAGCAACCCTGCGGTTCCCCAGCTTGTGGAGTCTCCCGCTCTTTCAGCGGATGAACAGCAATCTAACAAGTCACCAATACGTTCTGCTCCCCCTGGTCAATTCTTACCCCTCCATGGGGTTTCAAAGACCCTTAGGTTTCCATAGAAACGAGAGATGCCACAGGGCAGGGGCAGGAAGAGCCATTGCTGCAGTGGGGCAGAGGCAAGAAGCAACCACAGCTTGCAGAGGAACTCATCTGCACAGCACTGCCGACCAGACCAGAAGGGTGATCTTAAATTTTTGTAGAGATACTGAGCCAGGAGGAATAAAAAAAAAAACCAACTATCACAGAAGAAACCAGGGGTCTCCAAACAAGAAATCAGGAGTCCTCCCTGTATTTACAGCAATTAACCACTTCAATAATGACCAAATTGCAACCATAACACTGTTCCTTCCTATGCCTTTCCCACAAGGAGAAGAGTTAAAAGCAAATTCAATCCTCACAGCAGACAGGAGCCTAAACATACGAGCAACAGCGGTCTCCAGCTTCATTCAGCACCCCCCTGTCACTCTCCCCAGGCTTTCCTCCCGCGCCCCTGTGGTACGAAGGACCCGCAGCTGCCAGAACACGAGTGCTAAAGGAAAGACACTGCAAGAGCTCAGGACACTGCCTTAACAAACCCTCAGCAGGCTAACTATCAACAGTATCTGAGATAGGACTGGGAAATTAAGTTATGGTCAACTTCCCTCCTACATTTATCAACGTTCTTCTCTCTAGATCTTTGAGGAGGTTCCTTTCATTCCAGCAAGGAGAGCAAATAAACCCTCATCTCCAGCTGCAAAAAAACTGAAAGCTGCATTTTTTTCCCAACACCACTTCCCATATTGACAGGAAGAGCCATGAGAATTTTCCCCAAGAATTTTCCTCTCCCTGTACACGCCTGTCACAACAAGCTCCATCGCACCGTACCAGGACCCATATTTTTCAGGTCAATACCAAATTTAAAAGCAGCATGTATAGCAATTTCCCCATCCAGCTCAGGCCTGCCTCTCAAATGCAATTTAATTCCACCTGCAGGTGGTCAGCTCGTCTAACACTGACCCCTGGACACAGCGCTCGAGACTCGTGCCCCCAGTGCCCACCCCACCTTTGTGCTCTGCCACAAGCTCCCAAGCCAGGCTCTGCTTCGGAATCCTGGGCCCAGCACAAAGCCAAATCACAGCAGGATGTTTTTGCAAAGTTTACTATAGCTCAGACTTTCCACCACACATGCTATTTGTCCTTTCCACTCAGACTGGAAACAAACCCAAAGAAATTTCAAGACTACAAGCAAGGGCTTACTGGTATGCCACAACCAACCCATCTCTCTACACAGCTGGAGCTGCCATCGTCACAAATTCCCAACACAATAATAAATAAAAAACCCTGGACACCAGCTACTTGTGAGCATCCCCTCAAAAGCCATGAATAACACACATGTTAAATTAAACAGCTGACTACCCACCATGTCATAGTTAATACATCACATCTGTTTGTATCAGGCAGAAAACAAAGTTACATTAAAACCAAGGGAGCCTTTTAAAGAAAAACCTTTAAAAACAAACAAGCTAATCACTGCACAAGATGACTACCAAGCAGACAAAGTTTACTTCTCCCTGGGTTACTGATGCTCTCCCAGAAATGACTATCAACTCCAAAACAGCTTTAGAGTATCTTAATTGTTTCCACTTGCATTAGCTAAGAAGGCAAACTTACCAGGAAGGCCAGTACATTTCTAAGACACTACTCCCTGAGGGGGTGGCAAGGTTCTCCTACACCTGCAGAGCGTGACACGACTGCGTTTTGGTGCTGCCATCTTTCAGCCAGAGTTGAACTGGCTGACACCACACGTGAAGATGAGAATGACAGCCTTTAACTCGTGTGCCAAACGTGGTCCGATTCCTCAAGTTGTCTGTGCTGCCTACCATACAAAAACACCAACTAAAGACAGACAGCAAACTTTTACCTGGGGAGGAAAGCAACATAGCTTCCCAAAGCCACACACTGACAGCTGCAGGAGAGCTTTGGCTGGAATAGTCCCGTCTCGCCAGCCCAGGATGGTTAGCTCTCTGAACTGAGCACCTCTTCTCTGAGCTGGCAGTGTGGCTTTCCAAACCACAGCCAGTACAGCAGAACACACGCTGCAGCAGTCCCACATGCTAATGAAAGAGTGACCTGCTCACTGGGGAACAAATCTGGTGTTTGGCAGGTATCAAGCGCCCAGTACACGCGCCACAGACCGGTGGATGGGTGACATGAACCAGACAAGCTCGTACCACACGTGAAGCATGGGCCTGAAACCTCCCTTATCTCAGAGGGGATCCCACAGAGCCCTGCAAGGATGAGTCCATCTCCGACTGCCCAGCCATCCACCCGCACCCACACAATCAGGTGAGCACTCGGGGTGAGCTGTGCACCAGCAGCCCAAGGCTTTGCCAGGATGTAGTCGGCTCTGCCAGCATGGTTTCTCTTAAAAGGATTTCAGCAGATGTGGCAGGCAAAGGAAGTCACATAAAGCTACAGGGAAATATCAGACCCAAGCAAACACCCCAGCTCTGACGACCAGCCTATCCATCCGTCCCCTGCTTCCAGGCGCTTTCTTAACACATGCCCACGGGGCAGACGCCTCTCCTCATCTAGAATACCCCAGTCTCCATTATTTGTTCAACCCAACCTACAGCTGCAAATCCTAAAAAAAAAACAAAACAAAGAGTCTTAAGAACTTTATATGTCTTTCCAATACCTCACTCGTAGCTGTGCAGTGCAAGAACCTGTACAGCCTTTAGGGGAAGAGCTGATGAACAGTTTCTCCAGCTCAGGAGACCGTATTCTGCCAGGCCTCAGCACAACCCGCCCACGCGCCGCTGGGGCGAAGGCTCGGGTACCTCTCGGCACGCCTCCTCTGCAGGCCCTTCCCATCCACAGGAGCCATCCCTCTGCGCTATCTAGGATAAACAGAAGTGACCAAAAAAACCCCTCCAGGTCTTCCTTGGGTAACATCTCCCTTCAACTTACTGACTCATTTGCAGTTTTCTGTTCCACTTTTTGCCTAGCTTGTATTATACACAGTCAACAAAGCAGGACAGAAACCCAACGTTACTTAGTTTCTCTTTTTAGCTCCATGACGTCTATCTGGCAAGATGAACTTTCTAGAACACGCTAGGCTGTCTGCCTCCCCCGGCATCCCGTGCAGTACTTTCTCCAAGAGAAGAGCACCCCCCTTGAACCTCACTGCTTGCACTGGTTTCCTCTCTCCTCCTGACCCTGCAGCTAACGCCATCCCTTCTGAGGATGAGAAGCCGCCCCTTTCCCCCCCCCTAACGTTAATACCATGCAAGTGTCTGCAGAAACACATCCTCCATCTACTCACAGATTCGCAGGAGCGATACCAACACACTCGTGCTCTCAAAAGGTGCTCTGTAACTCCTCTGCGCTGCTCCTACAAGGCAGAAAAACCTTACAGCCACACCATCTTTTACAAAAGCAGTAGTTAGGATTAAACTCCGTCTGTCTGATCACTGACCGTTCCTTGCAGGAACATGA